CTGAACGCGGCCATGGCAGTGGCTCTGACCTTGTGTCAGAGAGGTGGTGGGCCTCTCTGTAAGAAGGAACCACAGCCCACATCTGTGTAGCATGTACACACTCACACATTTCTGCTTATTTGGACTTGGGTTCTGTGGTGAATCGTTCGGGAGGGGAGAAAATATGAAACCTCAGCAGCCTCCTTCCCTGGGCCTGTGGGGACTGGGGGATGAGAGTGAGGTTGGAGGTTGGAACAGTGTGCTCCCCTTTGTCCCATGCCCTGCCAGGAAGGCTCGGGAAGGGGCTGGTTCCAACCCGCTCCTGTCCCCCAGAGGCTGGGGTAGGGGTAGAGGAAATGAGCCCACTTTCTGGGCAGGGGTTCACTTCACCCTGTCCCTGCCAGCCCTGCCTCAACAGGAACACAGACTGTCATGGGTGGGAAACAGCCTAGAGAGGAGACACCACCTGCCCCTGCCCCTGCCCCTTCTCTGAGCACAGCCGGTCTTGAACTGGGGCCTCCTGATCTGAGTCAGAACTGTCTTCCAGCCTAACTCTGGAAGGTGACCCCCTAAATGCCTGGATGGTGATGCTTAAAGACCTCTGGGTTCCCAGAGAGCCCTCCTCTCCTCCCCTGAGCCTGCTGTCTCTTGATCTAAACACACACACACAGCACAGCACAGCACTGACTCACACTGGTGGCCCTTCAGTTTGAAATGGGGGCAATTTTCTAGTGACCACGAGGCAAGTAACCGTCCTGGAATGCATGGGTCAATGTGTGCATGGGGGTGTCTGTGGGCCAGGCCTGGGAATGGTGGGAGAAGGGGGAAATGTGAGACTCTCCTCCCATCTCTCCTCAGAGCTCAGTCTCTCTCGGAAGGAATGTCCGGGCTGGGGATTCCCCCCGCTCCTCAGCCCACAGCTCAGCCCTCGTGTCCCCAAGCACAGACTGAATCAGCCCGGTCCGGGGAGGGGCAGAAGCCAGGGGTGGGCCAGGGGCTGAGGAACGGGGGCACTGAGGCTGCCCTGGGACGGGGGAGACCTTCACACACCCCCTCAGCTGCCAGCTGCGCCCCCAGAGCCTTCCCTTCTCCCTGCACGGACCCCAATGGAGGCATGACAGGGGCTCCGAGAGGAGCTCGAGATGCCCCTACAACCACCCCAAGAGTATCCCCTCTCCAAGCTGAGCGGCGGTATTATTCGAAGATGCAGGAAAAGCTGAGCGCAGGGACTTCAGAACGGGGCGTGCCCCCCCTTTCAAGCCGGGGGCGTCCGAGGACGTCTCTCCACGTCTCCGGCTCCGGGGGTGGGGTCGGGACGGCGCTGCCGATGAGATCTCGAGCGCCGCGGAGCGCCACGGGTTCAAATCCACCTCTGCCCCGGCGCAGGCGGGACCCCACGTCGGGAGCCGGCCCCGCCGCCCGCCCCGCGCCCCCGCCGAGCCCCGGGACCCTCCTCCGCGCCGGGCCGCTCGGCTCCCGCGCTCTCCCCACCGCCCAGCCGGCTCCTCGCAGCCTCCTCCCATTGGCCAGGAGCGCCACGGTCCCACCAATGAGCGGGCCCCATTTCGGCAAGGGGCGGTCCCAAGGGCCGGCGCTCCCCGCCCCCGGGCCGCGCAGGGCAGGCGGGAGCCCCGCCCTTCTCGAAATTTAAAGGGCCGGCGCTGGAGACCCGGCTCCCGGAGGGGGTGCAGGGGAGGGCAGGAGAGGGGTGCGCGGGGCTGCAGCCTGGAGAGCCCTGGAGCTCTCCTCCCAAAGAGTGGAACCGGCGCCGGCTGCTTGTGGCAGCCGAGAAGGAGCTTATGTTGGCATGACTGTAGGAAAAAGTCTTTAACGAGGAGGGAAACAAATCATAATATTTCCCTCTCTGGCTTCCCACCCCCGTTGCCTGGAAAGGCACCCCCTTGGACAGCTCACCCCCAATAGAATCCTGTCCCCACAGAACGATGACCCATGACCCCCCCATTGTTTATTACCCGCCCCCCACCCCAGTTACTTCTGCTTCTAAATTGATGATAGAAACTTAGGTTTTACAAACTGCCCTTCCACCAGGCCCCAGGTAGAAGGAGGGCTTCGAAGCTCTCTAGCATAGCTTCTTCTGGCGAGCCAGCGGGAGATGGTACTGGGGGTGATGCAATATGCCCATCTTTGCCACCAGGGGTCCGCCCAGCACACTGGGAAGCTCCGAACGAGGAGCACCAGGTTTTCTAAGTGGCTTCCACTCCCACCCTGCCTGCTTCTTGGCTGCCCTCCCCTTCAACTTGGCTCCCACCCTCTGGAAGCTCCATCCTGCTGAACTAAACTGCAGTGTCCCGCAGGTGGGGTGGGGGCTGCTCACCAAAGGGGGCTCACTGAGCAACTTCAGTAAGTTCCTATGGCCTCCCCCCCAACAAATAAGGTCTCTTAGAAGGACCTGGCTCATCTGCATAGAGCCAAGACCTTCAGGGACCCCAGCCCAGCCTGGAGGAAGGGTCTCTCCTCTCCCAGGCCCTGGAAAAGGCCTTGGCAAAGGCTTATCGCCTGAGGAACAGCTGCTAGAGAAAATACCTTAGGGGCTGACTCACTGCCTTCCCTCTCTTCACAACCCCCTCCCACTGGGCCCCACACCAAGCTTGGAAAGACTTTGAGAGAAAGAACAGGGGTTAAGTACCCCCAGCTGGACTGGCCAGGGCTCTCTGGAGGCTCTGGAGGATGTAGCTATCCCAGCCCTAACTGTAACTGGCGGGGGGGGGGGGGGGGGGGTGTTGGAGTTACAGCTTAAACGGCCTTCATCAGCCATCACAGTTATTCTTAAGACTATTCAGCTGAGGTCTCTGATGGACATGTGCATGGCACTGCCCTCTGGAGTACAAACCCTGTCCTTCCATCAGTGGTTATCAAGGGCCATTACTGTGATCCAGCACATGAACAAGACACAAAGCCTGCCTCAGGGAGTTTACAGTTGGGCCAACAGGCAGTTCCAGCCCAGGGGAATGTCTGCTGCAGCTGAGGAAGGACTGGGCAGTGAGGGGTTGTGACTTCCCAGCTGGCCTCTGCATTGGGTGTCCCTCTCAAATACAGCTATGCAGCTTCTTTATCTCATTAGGTAATTGTGAGGATTAAATAAAATGATGTCTATGAAAGCACTTTGGAAGGTCAAAACCACAACAGAAAAGTAGGATGGTGATGGTAATTTCTAGCCAACTGGGAAGAGGGGGAAGTACCTAAGTCAGCAGGATTTCTGAGCTCATTTTACTCTGGATTCTCTGATCATGATTTCTTTGAGGGAAAGGCCAAACCACCTTCCCCCACTGGCTCTGATCTCAGCTCAAATGCAGAGTTAAACTTTCATGAGCTGCAGTTTTCATAATAAAGGCTAATAATTATTGAGCACTCATTACATACTAGGCACTGTTCTAAGTGTTGTATGTGTTTACAGACGTATTGTCTGTATACATGTTTTATGTATTAGCTCATTTCATCCTCATAATCCTATGCAGATGAAGCACCTAACAAATCACTGATCTTCATGACACTATAAGGTAGGAACTATTATCTCCCCCTAAGGAAGGAGGAATCTGAAGCACAGAGAAGCAAAGTAACAAAGCCAGTAGTGGAGGGAAGATTCGAAAGCAAGTTTTCTGACTGCAGACCTTGTGTTTGTACCCCTGTTTCCTGAGACAGATGCTCGTGGGGCTCTGGTTCTTATTCTCAGGGGACTTTTCTGCTCATCCCTCCTAGACTGGGTCAAGCTCCAAATATTCCAAGCCCGAAAGAGCCAACAACCTAATCCTTAAACCAATCCCTTAGTAACCAGTCCTTACTCACTCACCTGGAACCCCAGAACCTGAAGCAAATCACCCCCCATATCTCCTTCAACACCCCCCACCCACCCTGCAAATTCATCAAGTCAGTAAACAATGAATGAACAGCGGTAGCATTTCCTTACATGTTTATAATCCTTTGGAGAGATAAAAATAATCACCAACTGTGTACCAGCCACTGGGTACTTTTTAATAAGAGGTACCGTTCGTTGGGTAATTACTATGTACCCAGGACTGTTACATGTACTGGCTTGCTTAATTCTCACCACAATCCTAGCAAATAGGAATGACTATCATCCCCAATGGTACCAAGGAGGAAATGAAACATACAGAGGTTAATTAGCTTTCTCAAGATCCCAGAGACCACTATTTTTCAGACTTTTTTGTTTCTAAGAATTATATTTTACATCATTACCAAGTACATACATACACATGACTGAGATAAAAATATCATCATATATTTAACTTCACTATGTTCAGTGCACTCTGATATTTTCTACTCTATTTTAGTCTGTTTTATTTTGTCTTAAATTCTGGTCGTGACCTACTAAATTGATTTCACAACCCATTAATGAGTCACCACCCACGGTTTGAACAGCACTGAGTCACAGCTAGGATTGAGGCCAGGATTCGAACCCAAGTAGCCTGGATCCAGAGCCTAATCTCTTGGCTCAAGGAATGGCTTAGCAAAGGGGGATAAGGGAGGCCTGAGGCCAGATGGGGGCCGTGCTATGGAGGGGAATGGAGGCCTTGATAATCCCACCGCCCTGCACCCCAGCAGAAAGAATACAGAAGTTAACTAACAAACGTTACCTCCGGCATGCAAACCCTCCACATCAACAGTTGCTTTTACTTAGTCTTCCTCTGTAGGCAGTAGGGTAGACAGAGAAGCAGATTCAGGCAATTGAAGTGGTTTGACCAAGATCACAGAGTCACAACTAGAGTCCAGTGTCCTGTCTTTTAGTCCAGGAGTTCTACACACCAGCCACAGCTCCCTCTTGAGGACAATGACCTTGAGAGTGGAGGTGACAGCACTGGCAGGAATGATAGTACTGGTGATGTGAGTAGTGGGAGGCTGCTGCTGATGGAGGTGGAAATGAGGGTGGGAAGAGCCTGGGGGTGGGGGTCCTCAGGACAGTGCGGCCCTGCAGGACTGGGGACACTTCCACAGCAGTATGTGCAGCCTGCTCCTGGCCAAGCTGACTCCCTGCTCCTCTCCAGCACTTCCCTGAGCACCTGGACCACTTCACAGAGAACATGGAGGACTTCTCCAACGACCTATTCAGCAGTTTCTTCGATGACCCCGTGCTGGATGAGAAGAGCCCTCTCCTGGACATGGAACTGGACTCCCCCACACCAGGCATCCAGGCGGAGCACAGCTACTCTCTGAGTGGGGACTCGGCGCCTCAGAGCCCCCTGGTGCCCATCAAAATGGAGGAGACCGCCCAAGGTAAGAAAGGGGCAGCCCAGGCCCAGGAGGGGAGGAAGCTTCTGAGGGGCCAGAGGGGTGTCCCACAGGTCAAGACTCCTCCACAAACACCTGTCAGGGCAAACTACCCCTGCCATTTTGTTCTCCCTCAAATCAAACCCATGTGGGTACTTCTCAAAAGGGATTTTTTGCTGACTTATTTTGCAAAGTCAGCATCACCTGGGGACTTGTTAGAAATACAGATTCTCAGGCCCAGACCTGCTGGGGAGGGCCCAGCCTTCCAGCTGACTCTGATACACTGGTTAGATTGAGAATCACTGACTTAGAGGAAACAGGGGTGGGGGAGGTTAAAATAATAAATGTGGACAAGTCACCAAGACTCTAGAACCTTTCACATGTTCATATTCTATGAGATATTATCTGGGGGAGACTTCTGCACCCCATCCTCCATCTCTTAGATGTGAAGTTTCCTTTGAGCCCTTCCTCAGGTAATCAAGGCTGTGCCCCAATTTCCACAAATATAGGTAGCCCTTGGCTGGGTGAATCATGGACACATCTCTTGGTTTTTATAAGCCTCAGTTTCTTCATCTACAAATGGGCATAACAATAAACATTTCTGCAGCTCTCTCCAGTTTACAAAGTGCCTCCATTTCATTATCTCATTTCTCATGACTCACTGATGGGGCAAGAACCATTTTGATCCTCGTTTTGACCAATGAGGAAAGTGAGAGTTCAGGAAAGCTGAGGTCACATACACAGTAAAACACAAAGCAGGGACTTGAGAGCAAGCAAGCCCCCTAATTTTAAACTTTACACCATGCCAGCACCACATTTGCCAGCCTTGGGGTGCATCCTGGAGCCTCTACCATCTGCTATGTGACCTTAAGCAAATTACTTAACCTCTCTGGGTTTCTATTTCCTCAATTATAAAGTGAAGATAATATGTACCTTGAAAAATCTGGCCGGGATTTTGTGTATATATATCTATTTATGTGTGTGTGTGTGTGTGTGTGTGTGTGTGTATAAAGTCATCAGCACATAATGTATACCAGCACATAATGTGCCATCAGCACATAATGTGCCCAGCATATAATGTATACCAGTAATTCGTGACTATTTTCATTGTGCATATTAAAGTTCTAATAGTTCTGCCGTGGCTAGAACAATGAACAGGGTTCTTATTCCCTTTCCCTTCAGAAGACAATGGTCTTGAGTGAGTCTCTTCAAATTCTCATATATTCATGAGAATAATTAGTGAGGAAGCAGAGAGGGGCACTGCTGTCTGGGGAGTGGTAGCACCTGCCCCATAGGATTGTTGGGAGGGATAAATGAATTCATAGGTTTAGGCTGTTCAAGGCTTCCTCACACACCCACCCCCCCCACACACACACACAGGCCTTTGTGCCCCCTCCCTGACCCACCTCTGTGAGGACAGGGACATCTTGTGAGGTTTTAAGTGGCTCCAGGGCTTGTGGCTACTGAGGTCTCTGCCCCAGCCCTGGGAAGGGCAGGGTGTGGGGTGGCCTCCCTACCAAGGCAGGTTCTCCCATCCACCCCCGCTGGGTCAGCCCAAAAGTTCTTCAGCCACCCCAAGTCTATTTTTAGGGCAATTTGCCTGTGGGCCCTTTGCAGGGGGCAGCTTCCCGGAGGCCCATGGGCTGGCCCTGTAATTTGGGAAGATTGTGGGTGTTCCTAGAACCCTGGGGCGGCCTGTGGCCCAGAGCTAGGGCACACAGACTCCCAGCAGGGTGTGGCCAGCCTCCAAGGTGGAATCAAGCTGCTGCTAATCCCTCACCCCACCCACAGCCCGGGGCCCCAAAGTCCATAGTCCCCTTGAGCTCCTCCCCTGCAGTGGCTGCTTTTGTTCAGGCCTTGTCTTCTCGCTGGACGATTTCAAAGCCTTCTGAAGGCCACCCTGTCTCCATCTGGCTTGCCACAGAGTGATCTTTTTTAACATTACAGATTTGAGCATGCTTGAAACTCCCCAGCACCTCCCCATTACCCATTACCAAGCCACAGCTAAGCCCAGCTTCCAAGGCCTGGCCATCCTGCTGTGCTGGCCTCTCTGACCCCACCTTCCCCTTCTCTTCTCATTCCAGCTACTCTTGACTACTCGTGACCCTCACTAGATCCCCAGCACCTTGCAGTGCTCTGCAAAGTGACTGAATAACAATCATGTGCAACTATAACTACCATTTGTCAAAGTTATAATTCTTGTCAGACACGTTCACGTTGCAGAAACTAAGGATCAGAGAGGTTAAGCAACTTGCCTAAGGTCACACAGCCAGTCAGGAGAGGTCCAGGTCTATTATCCAAGTCCACCCTGGAAAGAGCGAAGTGAAGAAGATGCCCCCGCCTCTTCTGGCCCCAGCTTCCTCTGCCCTTCCACCTCATAAGTGCCCCCTCCTGCCCCTACCCTTTCCTACCTGCCTCATATACCCTAGCCTCTCTCCTCAGTCCAGTCCAGAGCAGCTCCAAGGGGGGAGGAGAAGGGCTGAGCCCTCTGCTTTGGGAGTCCCCTGAGCCTGGGTCCTGCCCCCCTCCCCCCAGATGTAGAACAAGGAGCATGGGTGCTGGGACACAAACTGTGCTCCGTCATGGTGAAGCAGGAGCAGATCCCGGAGCTGCCCGTGGACCCTCTGGCCGCCTCCTCAGCCATGGCCGCTGCTGCCGCCATGGCCACCCCGCTGCTGGGCCTCAGCCCCCTCTCCAGGCTGCCCATTCCCCACCAGGTGAGCCTGAGGGCTGCTTGTGGGGGCTGAGGGGGGAAGAGGGATGGTGGGTCTCTATGGCAAGCGGTTTCCAAAGCACCCTGGGCTCCTGTGAACAGGCAGCAGCGTGGCCCTCCGTACTGAGGGTCAGGACTCCAGACCAGGCCTCGGCCTCCCCTTGGGCTGCCTGCCCCTTCACCATCCCAGAAGACCCTTGGCGTAAACTGGGGTCCTCACTGTGTGTAGAAGAAAACTTACAGGGTCCCAGACGGGGTTGGGGGTCAGGGGCCCTGCTGTCCAAGGTCTTAGAGATGGGCAGCCCAGGCCGCTTGCTTTTCTTGAAACATCAGGATTTTTAAAAAGGAAGAATGATCGCAATGAAAAGACAAAAACTGTGCTAGAGTTCACTGTTTACATTCATGAGATTAATATTTTTAGCCCACATTCTCATCCAGCACCCCCTCCCCGTGAATGTATAGACAATCACATTTAGCTCCAGGCCAAAAATTGAAGTGGAAAAGCCCTTCTGGAAATGTCAGACCCAGACCTCTGGCCCCCAGAGAGGCCCTGCCTAGGCCCCAGCTCAGCTCTTGTTCATGATCTGAGTACCTCATCTTCCTGAATCTTCCTCCCTCAGTTTCCTTCTCTGCAGAATGCAAGCAGGAACCACCTGCACGGGGGTCTGGCTCTAAGAGTCTCCCATAACAGGATTATCTAAAATCCCCAAAGACAGGCCTCCCTGGTGGCGCACGGGGTTAAGCAATCCGCAGCCTCTGCAGCACAAGTTCAATCCCCAGCCCCAGCCAGGGAGCTACCCACATGGTACACAGACCTCTCCTGCCGCGCCCACTGCTCCCCTCAGCAGTGTATTTCAGTCAGTCTGCCTGTTCTGCTCCCCGTTCTGTCTCTGGCGAATTCTCTCACCCGCCCCCTCCCCATATCTCTGGCCTGTACCCCAGCTCTGGTATGCATAAGTAAATAAATCTTTGGAAAAAAATAAAATAAAATAATAAAATAAAATCCCCAGAGTCAGGGAGTGGCTGCCCCTGCCTCTGTGGACTACTCAGCTCAGTTGATCAGAATTACATGGCCAAAGTCTAGAAGGTCAGCTCCATTCTAGCTCCCCAATGACCTGAGGATCAAGGGTGGGTTCCAATGTGGAGGCTCTTTTGTGACCATCTCCAAGACTGGCCCAGCGCCTCCTCAGCACCTTGGAGGCCACAGGAAACCCTCCTTCTCAGAGCTGAAGGCCTAAACTATGCTACTCGACCACCATTCTCTTCTCTCAGGTGTGACTTGGCTTTTCCAAGTTCCAGAACTTGCCTTTGCTCCCTGTGAGCCTTCCCCAGAACCCTAAGCCCAGCCTCCCAATGTGAGGGAGACCACCAACCTCAGGGAGGGAGGTGGGGTGGCTGGCATGTTGGGGACAGCCCCAGGGGTGGCTCATAGAGCTGGGCCTGTTTTTCAGGCCCCAGGAGAAATGACTCAACTGCCAGTGATCAAAGCAGAGCCCCAGGAGGTGAACCAGTTCCTCAAAGTGACACCAGGTAAGTGTGTCCAGGGAGGGACTCCTCTCCAGCCTTGGTCAAGCCCACCCATCGCCCTCAGTAGCCTCTACCTCTCCCCAGAATGTCCTCTCCCCCCTGCCCTGTCCATCCTCCATCCTTTATCCCCTTCTTACCTAATCTACCACTGACATTGCCATTATCAATTCCCTCCAACCCTCTCTGCTAGTCCCCTACCCATTATTCACTAACTGAAGCCCACTTTATAACCATTTGTTCATTCTCTTGTCCCATCTATCCATCTGACCGTCTGTCTATCTAGCCAGTCACCCATCTCTATCCATTCATCCATCCAACAACAGAGCCCTGGGCCTCTCCCATCCCAGGAGCTGGGGACGCAGCAAGAGAGAAGACTGTCCCTGTACCCAAATAGGTCACAGAGTAGTAAGAGGCACCAACAAACCACCAATTACACCGCAGAGACATGGTGGTACATCATGCCAAGGATGCCCAGGGAGCCTTGAGAAGGTATCCCAGACCTGACAGGGGGAAAGGGAACAAAGGAAGCTTCTAGCATTGGCCAGAAATAGAAAGGACCAAGTAGGCCAAAAGGAAAAGGGCGAACTGAATCTTTCCGATTTCAACTCATCAAACACTGATTACGTTATCTACTGTGTATCAGGTCCTGGGCTCAGTGCCACAGGTGTAGAAAGATGAACAAGGCCCAGGTTTTCACTGCCTCGAGAGAAGCCAGATACACAGAGTAGGAAGGGACCAGCGTGAAAGTACTTTATGAGAAGAGTGCTCTTCAGTTTGGAAAGCATTGTCAGGTACATTATGCTCATTGCATCCTTGCAGCTCCAAGCAGGAGGCAGTTCACCCCACTCAGCAGGGAAGTAAGGTTAGGAGAGGTTAAATAAATGTAACCACTGGTCAAATTACTGAGCAGTACAACCTACTGGCTGGACTTGAACTCAGGTCTCTGGCTCCAAGTTCAGGAGTGACTAAGAGTCACCAAAAAAGGGAGAGAGGACCCCTGTAGGAGGCAGCCTGGTGTCCTGCCTGGGGAGGAGGCAATTCCTCCTCCTTCAGCAGTGTTCCAGGTTTCCGCACCTGGAATGATCTGGACATTCTGTGCTGTCCAGGGAGCTCTCCCTGCAGCTAGGATCCTATTCTCTTGCTCTGCCCAGACTCTTCCTGACCTCCTGCAGAGGGCCCATCTTCCAGGTGCTGCGGCCACAGCATGGAGGGGGTGGGTGAGGACAGCGGTGCTCCTGGCTAAAAGCCGGTGCCCACCTTCTCACTACCCTGAAGTTGAGGGTGGAAAGCCTAGGGTAGTTATGGTGAAACAGCTTGGGGCTTACCCAGCCTGATCCCCTTGCATCTAGCTTGGGGCAGATTCCAGATACCCCCTGGGACTGCCTGGAGGCTTACAGATCTTGGACCCTGTAAAGTCAGATGGGAGAGGAAATTCTAAGAATCCAGCCTCCTTGACATCCACGCCAAGAAGCCGGACCTCCATGGGGTATCAGGACTGAGGCAGCACTCAGAAATCAACTGGGATGTCAGCTCACCTTTGCGACACAGCAGAGGGCCTTCTGATACCCCGGCTCCTCCAAGCCTCAGCAGTCTGTCCCCCATGATACCAGGGTTTGGCTTAGGCCCATGGGAGGCCCCACTCTGATGCCCAAGCAGAGCTGGGGTGCAACCCTACTAACCTAGCTCTCCCACTCTCCCCAGAGGACCTGGTGCAGATGCCTCCGACGCCCCCCAGCAGCCACGGCAGCGACAGTGACGGCTCCCAGAGTCCCCGCTCTCTGCCCCCCTCCAGCCCTGTCCGGCCCATGGCCCGCTCCTCCACGGCCATCTCCACTTCCCCCCTCCTCACCGCCCCTCACGTAAGCAGCTGGGGTGGGCTGACCCTGGAGGCCGGGAGTTGAGTCAGTCCACCCCAGCACATGACCAGTGGGGAACATTCTGGGGAGCCCTAAGCCTGATCCTCACCCCCATCAGAATTCAGAGAGGTGCCCCCCTGGCAAATGGGAAGGAAGATCTTTGGATCCTGCCTCTCAGAAAACAGGAAACGGAGGCCAGAGAGGCTGCTGGACCTCCACTGTAGCAGATCCAGGACTTGACACTGCTGACCTCCAGGTGGACGGCCCAGGGGCAGTGTTTGGGGGGGAACAGTGCTCAGGAGGCCCAGGGTCCCCCAGGGAACAAGAAACCCTGGGAGGGCCATGAGGGGGTGCTGTTTAGGGAACCCTGGGCCAGTGAGCTTGGAGGGCTTGGATCCAAGGATAGGATCTAGGGAGCTCCCACCCCGACAGAGTGCTGAGTGCCCAAACTGCGAGGCTCCCAGCAGACCTACGCACAAGATAGAGACTGCCGAATTGAATTCAGATGCACCCCTTTTTCAGATAAGGAAACGGGCTCAGAGACTGCCTTGACCAGGTCAGACTGAGTCCACAGCAGAGCATCAGCGCAAGCCCAGGCTGTCTAGCTCCTCACCACCATGTCCTCCTTCCCACAGAAATTACAGGGGACGTCAGGGCCACTGCTCCTGACAGAGGAGGAGAAGCGTACCCTGATTGCCGAGGGCTACCCCGTCCCCACAAAACTCCCCCTCACCAAAGCCGAGGAGAAGGCCTTGAAGAGGGTCCGGAGAAAAATCAAGAACAAGGTAAAGCAAGAACCAGATGTGGCTATGCCATGGGGCTTCCTGGAGGGGGGCGGGGGGCTCCTCTGGTGATGTCAGCCCTGAAAGTGTGGCCATGGTAACCCCTGTGTGGGGGCTTCCTCCTCTAGATCTCGGCCCAGGAGAGCCGTCGTAAGAAGAAGGAGTATGTGGAGTGTCTAGAAAAGAAGTAAGGGTCCTGTGGGGGGAGGGACCTGGACCCCAGCCCCCATCCTACCCTGCTCTCCCCTCTCTCACAGGGCACTGGCGGCAGGGGACATGGGATTCAGGGAGTGGACATGGGCACAGGAGTGAGATGCAGAGCTGAGGGGGCAGCAAGGAATCTGGGGGCAGCCCCTGAGCCAATACCTGATTGACCCCACAGGGTGGAGACATTTACATCAGAGAACAACGAACTGTGGAAGAAGGTGGAGACCCTGGAGACCGCCAACAGGTGGGTGGGATCACCTGCATCTCACCGGGCCCCCTGCCTTCTGCAGTAACCCAGGCCCCCTCCCTGTCTCCAAATGACAGGAAACCCCGAAACCCTGGCTTCCCACCCTTCTTCAGCTGCATATAACTGAGACCCCCGTAGTACCAGTGAGACACTAAAAAGAAAAGGTCCAGAGCAGTGGTTTTTCAAAGTGTGGCCCACAGCAGCAGCAGCCATCCTGGGACTTTTTAGATGCTTTTCTTCAGGCCTCAAGCCTGAGTACTAAGCCAGGAGCAAACCATTCTGATAAGCCCTCTAGGTAACCCCGGTGGCCCCTGACTGCAGGCCGCTGGCATAGATCCTGGCTACGCAGAGTGGGTTTCTGGGGCCCGCAGCCTCAGCATCTCCTGGGGGCTTGTTGGAGGTGCAGAATCTCAGGACTGTCCCCAGACTTACAGAACCCAAATCTGTATGTCAACAAGATCCTTGGGTAATTCACATGTATAATTAAGTTGGAGAAACAGCATAGAGCCCGGATAGCACCTGGTAAGAAGTCGCTACACAGAGTCACAGCTCTGGGTTCTTATCAGACTCAGCCATTTTTGTGACTCCAGGAAAACTGCTAAACCTCTCTGGGCCCCAATTTCTTTGTCTGAATAGAGGTGACAGACACGCTATTTCCCGGGACTCATGCACAACGAAACAGTGCCTTGGCGTTTCAGAGTGCTCAATTCGTGTTAGCTTTGCTTCTTTTTTTACTGTCAATATTCCAAATCCTTGATAATGCCCAGCCATGAACCCACAGTACATTTTTAATAATTATTTTCTGGGATTAATTTCAAAAACATGTTAAAATAACAACAGTCTAGTATGTAGCAGGTGCTCAACAGAAGGCTTTTTCCCTCTTTCCTTCCTTCTCCCTCAGCTTCTCCAGTGGGATGCAGCCACTTCCCTGACTGACCTGCAGAAAGCCCCCCACACAGGGAGGGGAGCAGGATCCCTCACCCCTGACCCTTGTACCTCTCCCCCAGATTCCTCTCTGGTCCAAAACAGGGCCTGGCCCTTGGAGCTATCTCGCCACCTGCTGTACATTCTGGGAACTGCATCTGGGTGGAGAAACGATGATAAAAGATCTGTTCACCAAGCCAGGGCTGTGCACCTCCTGGTAGTGGGAGGATTCCACACTGGGTGGGACTGGGTCCTCAGCCCCAGAGGGTCCACGTTAGCAATGATGACTGACATGGAAATCCGTAAATTAACGTAGTGTCGGGTACTGTGATATATGCAAAACCAGCAATGAAATAAGCAAAAATGATAGCTACCATTTACCGGCTACTCGGTACGTACTTGACAACTACCGGACATGTCCATCTTAGCCCAGGGTGTGGTGGGGAAGGCCAGTTTAGCTGCAGTTGGTGTGGGATAAGAAAAAGCAGGTGGGGGCCTCCCTGGTGGCGCAAGGGGCTAAGTCTCGGCACTATGAAGCTATCCACAGCCACTGCAGCACAAATTCAATCTCTGGCCAAGGAGCTGGCCCACATGGCACAGCAGACCTCTCCTGTCTTGCCCACTGTTCCCCTCAGCAGTGTATTTCAGTAGATTTGCCTGTTCTGCTCCCCACTCTGTCTTTGGTGAATCCTCTCACCCCTCCGGATCTCTGGCCTATACCCCAGGTCTTCTATGTAAAAATAAATAAAACCTTTTTTAAAAAAGGAAAGAAAAAGCAGGTGGGAATTTCTCAGACCAGGTGGGGCAGGGCCCTCCTCCAATCCCCACTTTGGCCAGTAGTGTGACAGGACACCCCTAAGCTCCCATAGGGTGGAAGCTCCCAGAAATTCACCACCAGGCAGGTTCTAAGTGCCCAAGCTGCACCACAGAGGAGACAAGCAGGAGGTGACCTTTTCTGTCCTGACTGATATGAGCACCTGGTGTGGATATCAAGTGCAGAGCCAGCCCTGGTCCTCCCTGGAGAGCTCCAGGAGGCAGTGATGCCTGCTGGGCCAGAGCCTGCTGGTGACTGCTGTGCTCTCCTCAGGACCCTTCTCCAGCAGCTGCAAAAACTCCAGACTCTGGTCACCAACAAGATCTCCAGACCTTACAAGATGGCTGCCACCCAGACTGGGACCTGCCTCATGGTAGGTGCTGTTTCCTCACCATAGGGTTACAGAAGGATAAGTCTTCCCCAGGCCAGTTCTGAGCTATGAGGAAAAAGCAATGTTGTGGGCAATGTCTGTAGGGTAAACCATCCCAGTGCCTGGTCACAGACAAGCTCCAGTGGATCCTAGTCTCCTTCACTAAGCCCATGGAAGCTTCTAGAAAATGATGTTCCCTGACCAGGTCTAACATTGTGTGGATGCGTTATGACTCACGTGAATCCAGCTAGGGGATGGCAGGGCAAGTCCTGTGAGGAGGTGGCTTCCAGAGGCCCAGCAGAGTGAAGGATGGGGAATCTCAGGGGAGTGTGGTTCTTTCTGGAAGGAATGGTGGGGAAAGACTGAGCAAATCATTAGAAATCATTCCAGAGTCCCTAAGGTGGTGCACAGGCCTCTGCCAGACGTTCTTCTACCCTCTCCCGGAAAGGAACAGCCTGCTGCCTCCTGGCTGACCGCTTCCCAGGCCTCTGCAGTCTCCGCCAGGCAGCAGAGCTGTGGTATGGGTGGGGCTGGTTTGGGCTGTGTACCCCTTAGCGCCCACTGAGAATCTGCTGATAATATGCCCCCCTCCCTGGCCCCAGACCACCTCCCCCTCCTTCCTTTCCTGACTCCTGCACCCCATAGGTGACCACCACACTGGCCACTTCTCTTTTTGCTGGCGCTGCCTAGGATGCCCCCTGCCATGCATGGGAATGGCCTGAGCAGCCTCCTCCACCTTCTCAGAGAGGGTGGGAGAGTCCTGTCTACAGGTGGCTGACTCTGGGAGGAGTTTTCTTGAAAAATTACTGAGCTCTCTGCTACCCCTCCTTGGTTTTAGGAGGAAAATTTGAGGGTGGCCAGGGTTGCAGCCCTTCCCCGCCCAGATCTGACCACCATTCTCTCTACATGACAGGTGGCAGCCTTGTGCTTCGTGCTGGTGCTGGGCTCCCTTGTGCCCTGCCTCCCTGAGTTCTCCTCCAGCTCCCAGACTGTGAAGGAAGACCCCACAGCCACTGACAGCGTCTACACGGCCAGTCAGAGTGAGTGCCCTAGCTGGGCTGCCCTCCCCCAGCCCCAGCTTCTAGGTGGAAGCCAGTCATGAGAGAGGAGCCACGTTTGTTTTGCAGATGGAAAAACTGATGGCCCAAATAGGGCCTATACCTGCTTGCAGTTCGTTGTAGAATGCAGAACTCCACAATGCAGAACTCCTGATTCTCAGGCCACCCAGGAGTGGTGTGGGTAGGAAGGTTTAAGGGATAACAGGAATGCTCTGATCCTAGCCCTCATGTGTCATGGTGCCCATAGTTATGGGCATCTGCAAACCAGCATCAGTATTTTGTGAGTGAATAACAAGTGAGGTGTAGCTCAAGGGCCACTTCTAATAAGATGGCGGCAGCTGCCTGAAGCTGTGTTAAGAATTCGGAGGCACCGAGCAGGATCCACAGGCGTGTCACAGTCACTACTGAGTCTCCTGTGGATGGAGGAGGGCTAGTGGTGGGCTCGGGGATTTCCCATCCCACAGGGGGTGGTGAGTGCAGTGGTGACGAAGGTGGAGTTCAGTCAGTCATAGCTGCAGTGTGACCTTGGGCCCGTGTCTTAAGCTCCCTGTGCTTTGTTTCTTCATCTGAAACGTGGGCGTTCAATGCCACATTTATTTACTGAGCATGGTGGCTGTGAAGACTGAGTGAAAAGGTGCAGGTGCGCTCTTGGCATGGTGACTGCTGCAGAGCTGGCGCTTCCTAAACGAGCCCAATTACTCCCTCCTGGAAGAGGCCCCCCCCCAGAGGAGAGGCAAGATGCCCAGGGGTGGCCAGGGGGAGAACCGGTGGAGGGCACAGCCAAGACCAGCATGGTTTCCAGGGGCAGGATACCCGGCGGCGGCCCCAGGGGGGGGGCTTCCTGCTTGTCCTTCCCCATTTAAGAGGCGAGTTTTCAGGCTGGGCGGGCAGGAGGAGGAAGAGGAAATAGAGTGGAGGCGGGAGAGAGGAGAAGGGAGGCCTGAGCTGCAGAAGGAGGGATGCTGCTGGAGGACCAGAGACCTTCAGGGCCTGGGGGGAGGAAGCCGCGGGGCGGGGGCGGGGAAGAGGAAGCGGAGGCGGAGTGCGAACCCCTCCCTGCACCGGGGGCGGGCTAGGGAGGGAGGGAACGGGGCAGCGGCTTCGGGAGGTGGGCGGCAGGGACAGGAAGGTCTTGAGAACCTCGCGTCCGTTTTCCCAAGACCAAGGGACCTGTTCGGATGTAGAGGAGCTTGCAGAGAGGAAGGACTAGAAGCTGGGAGCAGGGGCGGGGATGGACAAAGCCAGAGCCCAAGGCTTTGACCCTGACCCTTCTGAGTGCAGGCGGTGGGGGTCAGACCCTGTGTCTGGGCGGGCGGGAGGACGCAGCTGTGGTAGGAAGTGGCTGGAGGCAGCCTGGCTTCCAGAGCTGGTGCATCACGCCATCCCAGGGAGGGCCGGCCCAGGCCTGGAGCAGGCCCACCTGGGTTTGCATCCCTGCTTCAGGGCAACAGGTGTGGGACAATGTCCCTGATAACCCGCAGCCACAGTTGCCTGCCCTGTGAAATGGGGCTAAAAATAGCTTCCTCCCAAGAGTTTTTCTGTGAGATGTTGGTGACTTGCTGTGGGTGAAAGACCTTCGTACAGTGTCTGGCACGTCGTGGATAGCCCAAAGTGTGTCTTCCTTCCCTTCATTACCCCAAAGGGCAAACTAAGGCCTAGAATGGGAAAGAGGTTTATTCAAGGCCTCACAGAGAGTGAGGGGCACAGGTCTAATGCCCCACCAGGTCCTCTCCGCCTAGCAAGAGCTAACATTCTCAGAAGGCTCACTGACCAGGGCTCCAGGCACCTGCCCGGGATCACCTCCCTTAAACCTCACATCTATATGTGGTTGGTGCCAGTATCCCTATTTTACAGATCAGCCAACTGAGGCCCAGAAAAGTAAAAGAAGGGCAAGACCTACCTGAGGTCACACAGCTGGGGAGGTTAGAGCTGGGGCTCCAGCCCCACCTTCCAGCCTGGAAGATTCCAGGGCAGTGAATGTGCCAAGATGGCCGGGATGCAGAAGGGGGCCTCCTGGCACTGTGGCTCATCCCAGGCCCCTCTCCAGTGCCCTCCCGCAGTCTCCTGTTCTATGACGAGGGGGCAGGCTCCTGGGAGGATGGCCGCAGCGCCCTGCTGCCTGTGGAGCCTCCGGAGGCCTGGGAAATCAAGCCCGGAGGGCCAGCGGAGCAGCAGCCACAGGACCACCTGCAGCACGACCACCTGGACAGCACCCATGAGACCACCAAGTACCTGAGCGAGGCCTGGCCAAAAGACATCGGGGAAAACGGCACCGGCCCCGACTTCTCCCATCTCAAGGAGTGGTTCCATGAAAGGTGGGTGGCCCCTCCCCTTCCAGCGGTCCCAAGCTCCACCTGCCCCCTGCCCACCCCTGGTTCCATGTCAGCCACGCCTCCCAGGGCTCCACCCACCAGGGGCCAGATCCAGTTTGCAGAGGGGGCAGAGGATCCTCTGCTCAGTGGACAGAATCACTTCTGATTTCTCTTCTCTCTCCAGGGATCTGGGCCCCAACACCACCATCAAACTCTCCTAGGCCGTTGCCAAGACCCAGGACACAGGACGAACCCTCGGCACCAAGAAGAGGAGTCGTCTTGCTCACTAACCCGGATCCGGCTTGTACCCCTGCTCCCTGAGGTCCCATCTCAGGAGAAAGGGTTCCACTTCTCCCCAGCCCTTCTTTACCCCAGATCTTGGCTCCATTCCTCCAACTCCACTCCCTCCCCCTAACATTTGGGCTGACCACTCTGTCTCACCCCTCCCTCCACAACCATCAACCTTCTCAAACAAACCACTCACTGGGCTACCCCATCCTTTCTCACAACAACCAACATGACCACTGCCTCCCTGGCCCCCCCATACACACACAAACAGACACCTCAACATGCACGCACACACACACCACACGCGCACACACACACACCACCCCACCCCCCACTGTACAGAGACCAAGAACAGAAATTGTTTGTAAATAATGAACCTTATTTTTTATTATTGCCAGTCCCCTAAGATATTGTATTTTACAAGTCTCCCTCCTACCTTCACCACTCCCTTGTTTTGTATTTTATGAAGTTAGTGCGGGCTTCGCTGCTCCCTGGCCCAGGGGAGAGGGCTCTCCTCTTGCCCGGCCGCCCCCTGCTGCCGCCCAGCCGCTGGGCCTTTTTAATTGCCAAACCGCTTCATCCATCAGCTCAGCACATGCTTTGAGAAGGCAAAAGTAAAAAAAAAAAAAAGATGCAGCATCAAATCCTGACTCTGTGCCTTTCTTCCTGGGGGGAGAGGAGTGTGAGAAGGGTGAGTTTCTCTTCTGGTAAGGGCTAGGGTTTAGGGTGCGGGGGTGTCAGAAGTCGTTTCTATTGGGTTTCCTCTTTCAGTCAGGTACAGAATTTGAACTAAACAAAGAATTCTGCCATTTCCCTCCCCAGAACTACCCCCGCCCAAGTGCCTCCCATTGCTGAGTCCAGAAGCAGGGAAGCACAAAAGCACCCTGTTGGACTTCAGGGGTGGAGACTGCAAGTATCAGGCCCCCACCATGGGCCGGGTGCTGTGTTAGGCACTTCAAGCGCAGAGCCCAGAGTGTTCCCCAGAGACCTGCCAGTGTCTGTGTCCCTTTGCCTCAGCTAGACTAAAGGCGCTGACTTCAGCGCAGGAAGAACTATCTGCTACTGGAGCAGCCACCAGCTGCACGTGGAAGATGGAATTCTAATATAACTGCCCGGGTTCCTCCTGCCCCTTGGCCTACATGCCCTGTTTAACTCTCCCCTCGATTAGGAGGGGCCTGTGAATGGGAGGGCATGTCACACCCAGAACCGGATGACCTTTCCTGGGCCACGTAGAGATTAGGGACCCAAATCAGTTGGTTTTGAGTTAATAAAGGGAGGTCATCCTGGTGGGTAGGTCTGGATTAATCAGGTGAAAGCCGTGCAAAAGGGGCCTGGGACTTCCTGAAGACAGAGCGTCCCCTGCTGGCCTGGAAGAAGCAAACAGGGTCTCACCGGTGGCGCAGCAGTTGGGCGCTGGCCTGCGAAGCTGTCCGCAGCTTCTGCAGCATCGGTTGTTTCGATCCCTGGCCACTGGCGAGGGTCCCACATGGCACGCAGACCTCTCCTGCCGCACCCGCTGCTCCCCTCAGCAGTGTATTTCGTCAGTCTGCCTGTTCTGTTCCCTGCTCTGGCTCTGGTGGATTCTCTCAACCTCCCGCGCTTCTGAATGTACCCAGTGCTTGTATAAAATAAATAAATCTTTTTTTTAAAAAAAAGAATCAAACAGCCGTGTTGCTAATAGTTTGGAAAGGAGACCCCCACACACACACCTCCCCAGGAGCTTAGGGTCTTGGTACTAGAGGAACAGAGCTCTGAATTTTGTCAGCAACCTGAGCAAGCTTGGAAGACTCCTACTCTGGAGGAACTCAGCCCAGCCAATACCTGGGCTGCAGCCTAATGAGAAGCTAAAATAGACCCAGCTAAGCCGGGCCCACGCTCTGCACTTCCGCGGAAGATAAGACCTCCACGTGCCGTGAGTTTGTGGTCAGCTGCCCTGCAACATAGGAAACTAAACTGCTCTCACCTGAATTCTCTGAGCCACCCTTTCTTAAGTTGTAAAATGAGGAAATAACATGAGGTTGTGGTGGGGAGTTGAGGAGGTAATAGAAGTGATCAGAATAGAGCCCAGCACCTCATGAGCTCTGAGAGAGATAAGCTGTGCATCTATGTCATACCGTGTGCTACAGCCCAGGCAAGAGAGGCTATCATAGCAGCAGAGAGGGTGCCTTTCTCAGGCATGAGCAGTGAGGGCTTCCTGGAGGAGGTGATGTGAAGGATGGTTAGAAATAGGCAAGAGAGAGGAAAGAGGCATTCCAGAAAGAGGGAACTGCCTAGGCAGAGGCCTCCATGGGAGAAGAGCAAGAAAATATCAAGAAAAGCGAAGTCATTCGAAATTTGGAAGGTAGAAGGCAAGGCTGGAGGATGACGGAAGCCATATCTAGAGAGGACTCGAATGCCTGTGCAGTCATTTGTACTTTATTCTGCAGGCACTGTGCTTTCATACTTAGAAGCAGGGCACAGTGGAAGATAGTGCCTGTGTCTGCTGCCCACCAGAGGAAAACTGGACAAGCCAGACAGCATTATGGAACCTCGAAACTGGCCATCAGGACCCAACGTCTAAAGCCTCTTCCTCGCTCAGTCAGCTTGAGCACTTGATGGGGACCTGGTTGAAAGTGGATGGGCACCAGTCTTAATTGCTATTGAAAGTGCAGACCTTTGCAGCAAGACATTCAAGACTGAGTTCTGGAGCCCAAACTCTTTTTATTATTAACAATAACTTTTAGCACACCTCTTTTCCTGATTGATTCATTTGTTACCTCTATTAGTCATTCAACAAACTGGCATGCTGGTAGTGACTCCCAGCCTAGTGGGCAGTAAACCAGCTATGGGCCATGTTGGTGGAGGGTAGACATGTTCTTAAGGGGACACAAAAGAGTTGTGCAATTCAGATTTGGTGGGTCTGTTAGGGGGAAATGCCAGGAAGATAATTCAGAGAAGGCAGCCCTTGAACCAAGACCATTCCTTGCTAGCTAGGAGTGGTAAGTTAGAGAAGAAATAAAATTGTTTGGGGTGGACAGGATGGCAGTTGCAAAGGCACGGAGCCATGAAATCAGGACCAGCATTGCGGTGATGAGGTCGCTCCTGGGGTACCAATTTCAAAGAGGCATTAGTACACCCCGAGAGTGAAAACTTCCTTCAATCCTGTGCCTTAGATTCCCAGCTTGCTTCACTCTTGTCCCAGCCCTGGTTAAAGCAGAGCCCTCTCGGGGATCAAAAGAAAACACTTTACCCTGAAGGTGATAAGGAGTCACGGAATATTTTAAATCAGTGAGTGAGATAATCAGATTTGCCTGTTCTGGGGCTCTGCATGGGGTATGTCAAGGATGAGACAGATGCAGGAGATAATTAGAAGGAATTATCAACAGGATTTGCCATCAGATTGGCTGTGGGGTGCAAGAGCAAGAGTGGAGCAGGATGACATTTCAGTGTCTGGCTTGGAGGCCTGGGTGGATGATGAGCCAGTTCACTGGGACAGGGAGTATGGCAAGAAAAGCTGGTTTGATGAAAAAGAAAATTCTTTTGAGCACATCTTGCAATTGAGTTGCCTGTAGATTGTTTGCATTAAGATCTAAGTCTAGGGGCCTCCCTGGTGGCACAAGGGGTTAAGTCTCAGCACTATGAAGCTATCTGCAACATGAATTCCATCCCTGGCCAGGGAGCTGACCCACATGGCACAGCAGACCTCTCCTGACTCACCCGCTGCTCCCCTCAGCAGTGTATTTCTAGATCTGCCCGTTCTGCTCCCCACTCTCTCTGGTGAATCCTCTCACCCCCTGTACCTCTGGCCTTTACCCCAGTTCTTGTATGGATAAATAAATAAATCTTTTATAAAAAAAAAAGATTTAAGTCCAGGGCTTGGGAGACAAGGATCCCCAATGGAGGTTAGGAAATTGTCATCCAGCTGGTGCTTTAAAGTCTTGAGTCTGGGCCTCCCCGGTGGTGCAGCAGTTGAACATTGTGTTGCGAAGCTGCCAGCAGCCTCTGTAGCACCAGTTCAATCCCCGGCTGCCCGGAGAGGGTCCCGCATGGCGCGCAGACCTCTCCTGCCGCCCGCTGCTCCCCTCAGCAGTGTACTTCGGTCCTTCTGCCTGCTCTGCTCCCCGCTCTGGCTCTGGTGAATTCTCTCACCCTCCCGCGCTTCTGACTGTACCCAGTGCTTGTATAAATAAATAAATATTTCTTAAAAAATTAAAAAAATAAAGTCTTGAGTCTGCATAAAAAGAAGACAAATGAGGGCAGAACTCCGGATGGACATTAAGAGTCAGAGGAGGGAGAGAGGTGGAGACAGCTGAGAAGGAATGGCAGGAGAGGGGAGAAAAACCAGGAGAGGTGAATGTCCTAGAAACTGATGAGGAGAGTTTCCAGGTGACAGGTGCCATCGAGGAGGTCAGGAAAGACAAGAAGACCAAGTGTCCATTGTCCTTGCCAGTGAGGAGGTCGCCAGTGGAAGCAGCTGGGGCAGAGCTGAAGCAGAAGAGACATGATGGGGGTGGGGTGGGGGTGAGAACAGGAGGGATGGACAGAAAGCGGAAACCAGGATGAGGGAAGATGGTGCCTGAGGGTGTAGGGAAGGAACCCAGGCAGTGGGCAGAGAGGTCCCATCTTGGACCAGAGGAGCCTAAACAGAAAGGGGAGGCAGTCTGGGCGTGGCATGTATGGAGACTGAAAAGTGAAGGAACCTTCCTTAGAGCCATGAAATCTCAGGACCAGCATTGTGGTGATGAGGTCGCTCCTGGGGTACCCTGCAGAGATCTGCACTTTCTAGTCATTGAAACAGCAGCTAGCAAGAGATCCCCATCAAGTAGGGAGAGTTGGCGTGGGAGTTGAAGTGGGGAGCCAGAGGAAGTTTAAAATAACGACTCAGAGAGACAAAGCTGACTGTTGCAATGACCACTCTCTATTCACTCATTCATTTAACATAGCAGACACTATTGAGCTATTGAGCACAAGTCCAGTTTCTGAAATCAAAGTGCTTGAAATCTAGCTTTCTCCCATTATTCAGTAGTTACCATGTGCCAGGCAATGGACTGAGAACTTCATGTATCCCAACTAGGAATCAAAATAATCCTCAGGGATGGGTATTGTTTCAGAAGAAGGAAGTCGGATCCTAAGAGGTGAAATGACTTGACCAAGGTCATGCACCTAAAACAAAGTGGCCAAGTTGGTATATGCACAGGGTCTGTTTGATTTCAGAGCTCACAATACCCCTCCAGCTCCCTGTCTCTCATGCCGGCACCCTTTCTTCTCACCTCTAGATGTGTTACCCCAGCCCGGTTTTGTGTTTATCACCCAGATCCAAGAACAATCGGGCTTCCTCGAGCAGCTAGCCGAGATAAGAGCCCAGAACTTGGTGAGCTGCTTGCTCATCTGTGATCACCACCCTCTGCCTGTCCATCCAAGGAAGTCTTCCCTCCTGCAGCCTGCACATGCTATTATCAGCCCTGGCAGCTGCCTTTGCTGCACACGCATGTGATGGCTTCCGCGGTGCCAGCATCCTGCTCAGATTGCCACAACAAACCCTTTGCGACACCTGGAAATGCAGCCCTGGGAGCAGGGAGAGCAGCTGCGTATGATGGGATGGGCTGAGCAAGGATCCAATTCCAGAGGATTGGATGATGCCAGGAGCCATCTGGCCAAACTGGGC